CAGCATTCCCTGGGGACATTGCCTCGCATCCCGTGATGGAAAGGGTCTGAAACAGAAAGCGGTGCTGGGAGGGCAGAGTTAAGGCAGTTTTCCTTCCTCCGGGAAGGATATTTGCACATCAGAGGGAGAGCCAGCACCCACTGTAGCATCTCTGCTCCCCAGGCACCTCTCCAGCCCCATCCACAGCCTCCAGCCCTCCAAGAACTCAAGCAAGTTCTTCTGCCCAAATGAGTGAGAGGATGAGGAGGGAGCTGCCCCTCGGATGAAGGACAGAAAGGTGACATTTCTCGCTTCCATGATGCTCCTTGTGAGCAGAGGGGAAGGACAGAGACAATCCCTTGCCTCTGTCAGACCCCTCTCCTGGATGAGAGCCATTACCAAAGGATATTTCTACACCTGTAGTAGCTACATGCACTTCATTTTCCTAAAGCATAAGAGATTTTGAGATCACCTCCAACAGCAAAAGGAGATCTGGATGGGCTAAGGGAAGCGAGGTGTGTTAGCAACATCTCATGCCCACCCAGATGCCAATTAAACACCCCTGAATAATTCTTTTACCAATGACCCGTATGACCACATGCTAGCAGGAGGCTTCAAATCTCATCTTCCCATGGTGGCTTATTGTGGTGGACAAGCACTGGAGCTCTGCCTATCCTGGGAGAAGACTTGGGGAGCAGAAACGCCTGCCAAAAGTCCATATTTTGCAAAAAAAAAGGCAAGAGCAGGGCAGGGAGGTGGTAGCTGGGGTGAGTCCTAGCTTCTCCTGGGTCAAGCTGCCCAAAAAACCCAATAGCTTAGACAAAAAATGTTTGGATTAAGATTTCTGCTTGCCAGACCAAGACCTCAGAGAGCCCATACCACTTCTGCTGTCCTTTTGCTGAGTTTTTTAGGGGGATCTGGACTCTTTTCTATCCCCAGCCACCCCAGGAGTGTGGGGGAGTATTTAGTGTCCCTGGGATTTCCACCCCACTGGCAAATCTGTCAGCAACCATCCATGAGGGTGCCCAGCATGGGCAGGAGGAGAGGGGAGATGTGGCATCCTGCAGCCCTGACACCTCACCCACCCCATGTTTTCCCAGCCTCTGCCAGCTTGGATGCTGACGTGCTGCCAGGATGAGCTCACCATGCCAGCTTATTAAAAACACTGTGTTTTACTGAAGGCGGCTTGTTGAAGCTGGGAGACACAGGGAAGGCAGCTGCCAGCTTCGCTGCCTGCACCTTTCCAGTGCTGCTGCCCTGCGAATACTTTACCGGGGAGAAACATGCTGGCTTATGGAAATACAAGGCTTTGACATTGCAAAGCATCAAGGAAAATAAAAGGGGGGGAAAAAAAGAGCCAATTACCTGGGGCTCATCAAGGAGCTGCTGCGAGAAATTGCGATGGGTAATTATAAAGTGAAAATAAAATCAAGCTGCAAGATGAGAATGACAAGCTGGGGGGACTGGAAAGGCACAGGAGGAGAGGGGCGCCCAGCACCCTGCAGCAACCTGTGGCTGGGAGTTTTGGTGCTGAGATTTTAGCCAGGAAGTATGCTCCTTTGAATATCAATTTGATCAGAACACCTCCCTGCCAAAGGAGGTCTGGAGGCCAGGAGGAGGGTGGGGACGGTGATGTCTCAACAGGCAGCACTGAGCCAGCTGCCAGCTCCAGCTGCCTCTCCCTGGGCTGGATCAGTCCAACTACTCCAAACTCTGGGGCTATTTCAGGGAATACCATCATCAATTACTTAGTGCAGTGATGCTGCTGCCCCAGTGGGAAGAGGCTCGCTTACCTGCCCTCCAACCTCTCCTTCAGACAGGGAATAGCAGGGGGGGAGAGAGGGCCTTTCCATCCCCATGAAACGTCATTGAAGCAACTTCCTTTGAGGACTGTGGGAGCAGAGGCAGCCGATGGGGACAAGCTCTAACTAAAGGTCAGCTGAAATACTGCTGGGCACCCCAGGATTCATTTCAACACATCGATAAGGAATGCTTGACCTGTCTTGCGAGACATGTGAGAAAGTGCTGGGAGGAAAAATCCTTCCAGATCTGGACAAAAGGCATCTGCCAAACCTGTCCTATATTTTCTATTTTACTTTTAAATTTCCTATTCCTATCCCTTATTTCCTTATTTTATTTCTTGCACAACAAGGGTGACACTGGGCTAGAGCAGTGTTGTGGGTTAGGGGAGACAGCGAAGTAATCACACTGTCTAACATATCCCATAGAGACCTTAAGATTCAAGTGCTAAAATGCCATCAAATTTAGCAGCCACCTCCCAGTAACTCCAGACAGCAAACTGGGCATGTTTCCTACAGTTCCTAAGCAAACAGTTTCCTACTATTCCTACAGCAAACAGGTCCTAAGAACTGGGATGACCCAAGAGGTGCCAGGTTTTGCCCTCACTGGGATTTTACCCTGGCCTGGCTGTAGGATGCTGCTCCGCTGGCTGGGACCACTCTATGAGTAGAAACAGCATCTAACAACATTGACTATTTCTCATTACAAGTGCAATTAAAAGGAGAGAGTATTACAAGTGACAGCCCCATCGTGTCCCTGTCCCTTGACCGTCGCATGCTGCCTTTATCTTTTCTGCCTGGGCAGTTCCATCAATGGATCGACTTCCTCCCCTGCCTAATTTATGGCTCCTTTGTGTTTGTTTGGATAATATGGTTAAACATCTACTTTACACTCTGCATGCTTGTACTCGCTAATTAGCATTTTTCTCGGTGTTTATTGCATTTGTTATGCACTCTGGCAAGATGAACAGGAACAAGGAGAGAGCTGGGAGCCCTATAGACACTGCACTGGGGGCAGGAGCTGCAGCCCCAGCCCAGCCCAGTAGGTGGGTGCCTGTCGTATCCCCCCCCCCGGCCTAAGCTGCGGATGAAGCTGTTGGCAGCCAGAGCTACAGCTGTGTCAGGGAAGGGCTCCCCTAGGATTTATGTCTGCATCCTAACACAGTCCTTGAGCAGCTTTAGGGTGGACTGGGGACCATGGAGCATCACTGTCAGGGGAACAGAGAGAGATCAGTGTGTATCCCCACGGCTGCTGCCCTACAGTGACAAACCATCCCACAGCCTTCTGACCTCACCTTGTTGATGCTCAAAGCCACTTGCTGAGTCCTTCTGTGCTCGTTTGAGGTGCTGGGCAAGGCAGGCAGTTATCCAGGAGGGTGATTTGAGGCCCCCTGTGCTCCACGAGCAGCCCTGTGGTCATGAGGATCTCTACCCGTCCCTGCCCACAGAGCCACCTCTCTTTGCCAGAACCACCTCACCTCACCTCTCTCAAAGGAAAACCCAACCTCAGCCCAAACCAGACCTTCTCTTCAGCCTTACTTCATGAGGATTTTCAATCTCCCCCCCCCCCCCCCCCCCCCCGCATGATCATGATGTGTCCTGGCAACCAGCATTGTAATCTTCCAGTCCGGGCGGTGAATCCATACCACCCTGGGGTGCAGCTCTGCCCTGTGGCAGCAGTACAAGTCCCAGCCCTCAAGGAGTCACCACCTCTTGCTACTCTGCAGCACCTCTACCTCTGCCTGTCCGGCATCCTGTCCTGGGGGTTCACACCCCCTTGCTGTGAGCGCGGCTCATGCTCCACCAAAGGTGCAGGAAAACCTGCCTTCCTGCCTGCTCCCCATACTGCTGTTTCCCTGCCTGCAGACACATGTCCTACAGGGCTGCTATGCAGGGGCAGGCACAGGGATGCAGTCGGCAGAAAGGAACCCCCAAATCTGGCCCTTCCTTAAGACCCCAATGCCGCTACAGGATGGAATATCTAGTCTCAGCTGGAACAGGAACAGGAGCTTACAGCGCGAGGCTCTCCCCATTTCCAGCCGGAGGGCAGGATACAGGGATGCTTCTTTCCCCCAGGCTCCGTAGCGCCTTGACGAAACCCTTTCCTCCCCAGAAAGCGTCCCCCCACTGGGCTCAGCGTCCTCCTGCTCTCGGGACAGATGGATTCTGCCAGAAGCCGTAACAGGTAACTGCTAAAGAAGCTCTCCTAATTAACGTGTGCCTCGGAAACACCCTCGCCGCCCCTTTCCCCAGATGCTCGGCCACCCCTCCGCTCAGCGGTCACCTCGCCAAAAGAGCGCTCCGCTCGGCTTTAAAAGTCGCAGCTCAGCGCAGGCTCAGGGAACATCTTTCAGCCCAAAGCTGTCAGATGACCCCTTCCAGGGCTCAGCTCTCCTAGTGAAAGGCACCGTCGCTGCCCGCAAGGCGCTCCTGAGCGGGCAGGAGAGCAGGCAAAAATCACATTCAAACTTTGGTGAATTAAAGCAGAAAGCTGGGGTTAAGGACGTGGGTGGTCTTCGTGTCCGTCAGCAGCATCTGCGGGCAGACGGCAGCCGTGTGCGGGAAGGAACGGCTGCGCAGGGTTGTTTCCACCCCACCTGGAGTTGGGGATGCTGCTTCCCCCGCGGCTGCCGGCACGGCCCTGCGGGGAATGGGGCCCGCAGCAGAGGGGAGCCACGGGCGGGAGGAAGGCGGAAGCGGGCTAAGGAGGAGAGCTGAAGCGTGGGCTTGGCAGGGAGAGGGTGTGAATGACCCCTCCAGCATTGCCTGCGAGTATGCAGCAAGAAACCTCCTCCGCGCACAGTCTCCTCTCTCCGTGTGACGCAGGTGCCAAGAGCCAAATTTCTTTAACCTCATTCCAGCAACAAAAGGAACTTGCAGAAAGTGCAGGCAGCCTTCCCACCCCCCCGCGAAAAGAGAAAAGCAAGCCCACCCCCCTTCCCCTGCACAGCCTCCTGTGGCCGGGCCGGGGGACGCTGCGCCGCGGCTGGGGACCCGCGGGAACCTTCCCACCGCCGCTTCTCTCCGCGCCCAACTCAGCGCCTCAAGGGTGGAGACGGGGACACGCACACACACACCCGGAGCGCAGGGGCCGGGGCGCGGCCGCCCGCGGGGCTGGGACGCGCGGAGCAGCGCGGACGAACGGGGCGCGGAGTCCGAAGCGCCAGGAAGCGGAGCTCGGAGCCGGAACGCGGAGCTGTCCGCGGTGCTGAGGACACTCACCGGGCCGGGCCGGGCCGGGCCGGCGCCTCCTGCCGCCGCCGCCGGGAAGAAAGTGGGGCGGCCCCTCTCCGGCGGGTCCCCGTGCTCGGCCTGGCGCCCTGCCTGGCGCCGGCAGCCCCGCTGGCTGCTGCGGCGGAGAGCAGCGACCCCGGGACTGCCTCGCTGCCGCTCCCTCCCCTGCTTAAATTTCAGCAGCTTCTTTTTTTTTTTGCGTTGTTTCCCCCCTGCTCTCCCCCTGCTCCCTCCGCTCCCCGCGCCGCGCTCTCCCAGCAGCAGCCACCTAGCGGGCAGAGCGGGGAGGGAAATCCCACCCGCAGACCCACGCGGCCCCGCCGCATCGCCTCCCGCCGCCCCCCGGCCGCCCCCGACACTGCCACTGCCACGGCCACGCCGCTCCCGAAGGAGCGAAGCGACTGGAAAAGAGGGAGAAGGGGAGGGATGGGGCCACGCAACAAAATGGGATGCAAAAAAAGTGAGAGCCAACTGAGTTCGGCCTCATCCTCGTTGAGCTCTGAATGCGAAGCAGCGCGGCTTCAGAAGTGGTCAGAAGGATGAACCACCTCTGCTGTGAGGAAAGAGAGAGCTGCAGTTGTTCAGCCTGGGAAAGAGAAGGCTCAGGGGAGTCCTTACTGTGTCCTTTCAGTACTCAAAGGGGGTCATAAGAAAGATGGGGAAAGCGCGTCTGAAGTTGCATGCAGAGTTAGACTGAATTGCTCTTTTCAACTCAAGAAGCTACATGCAAGCAATAGACTCAAATAACTGATCAGGCCCTCCTGGCTTTCTCTATCCAGGATCCTTGTGATGGGCAAAGCGACCTGACTGGGTCCTGCCTTGGATGCTGAAACCACGGCAGCTGGAGAAGAGGAGGTCACTGCTGTCCTTTGCCTTCCAGCCGTGATGACAAGCTTACAAGTCAAAGTCAAGGACAACATCCCTGAAAGTCATGTTTTGACCATGACCGTGCCCGTGCATGAAGCAGAGGTTTCTTGCCCAGCTCCCTCAGGGCAGGGTGGCTGGGTGTGAAACTGCATGCTTTAATTCCTGTGGTAGTGAAGGTGCAAGAAAAAAAGCAGGGTCAAGTAGGCCCCAAAGCTGTCACCACCCACCTAAGAGGATCCTTAATGAAACCCATAGTGAAACTGAGGAGCAACACAAAGTCTTTGGTTCTTAACATACTTCAGAGCAAAATACAACTTTAAAATGGGAAGCTCCCTTGCTCTGCAGCCAACACAAGAAGTTGTCCAAGGGACATCTATGGAGGGGAGAGAGGGTGGCTTGCACGAGGTATGGATGGTCTGAAGGGGTCCCTGGGGGCCACTCAGGAAAAGCTAGAGATCTTGATTTAGAAGCAGTCTTTATTGAGATCATTTCAAATCCCTTTTCCCCCTCAGTTTTGCTCATGTTGTTTCCAGTTGTTTGGGACTCTGGGCCATAATCACCCACATAGCCCAGGTACCCTCACTCTTCCTGAGCCTGCCTTGCTGATGCCAGCAGGAATTAAGCCTCAGTTGGACACTCCAGAGGGTTTCCATCCCTGCAATAACACACCAAGTTAGGGAAAAGCAACCTTCAGTGAACGAGACCTTCTGGAATGGCCTGAAACCCCCAGGATCCCTTCCCTGTGTAGTCTTGTGGGAGGCTCAGCAGTGAGCTGAATCTTTTTCTACCCCTCCCTCTCCCAGCACTGCCTTCCAAAACTCATGGACAGAACACAGCCGATGCCCACCTGCATCCCTGAGCTTTGAGCATCCCCGCTATTCCCCCTGCATGTGCAGGGTGATGGGAATTCTGCCTTTGCAGAAGAAGTTTGTGAAATAGCATTTGTTCATCTTCCACCAAGAAAGACTGTTGAGAAGCTCTTATGCAGAGCTACATGCACAAAGCAAAACTGCCTCTTGGCAGCAGTGATCCTTACATGCATGCGAAGGAACAAGTTGGGGCTCCCAATCTGAATTACCAAAACCCAAAAAATTAAACATATGTCTCCATTCATCCAGGCAAGGATTTAGACGTCGTTACATCCTGATTCCATCTATTTCAATTACAGTCAAGGGCAAGCACTGCCTTCCCCACGCAGAGATCCTGGGAAGGCTGAATGGCCCTGGAGAGGTCTCCAGCCCACACAGTTCTTCCTGGGCAAGGAAGCACCCTGGCCACTGCATCCCCAGTGAGCTCCATAGCGGGGGTACTCAGAGCCTTGGGTGGATGCTCAGGGCCATGGGAGGATGCTTGGGGCTCTTGGGGATGCTTAGGGCCACGGGGTGATGCCTGGGGCCATGGCGGGGCTGAAAGTACCCTGAGTCACTTCTGCAGAAACTTGCAGCACACACAAGGGCTGCTGGTCCATGAATAATAAGAGGGAGCATACCATAAACTGGAGCAATATTAAAGAGATTTGACTGTAATTACAAAAGCAATAAACCCAAATCTTTACATCCAATCAAAGCCTCAAAATTATCTGCTATCATGTAATGGCTGAATGAAGGCGAGCACTGGCAGGGGCGTGGGGAACAGTTGCAGAGTCAGAAAACAGCCCTGCAAAAAAACCCTGGGCTTTGCTGCAAGGCAGCCCAGATACTTTATTGGTCCGTAGCGCCAAAGCTTCAATCCTCCTGGCAATGGGCAGGGAAAGCCTGTCCCCAGCTTGCTGCAAAGAGCTCCCTAGTGCAGGGTTCGTGTTTCTGAAGGAGAGAAGAAATACCTTGAGATGCTCCAGTGATGGGAAACGCCAGCAAGCCCAGGTGGGAGATGCTCTGGCAGCTACAACTCATGAAGGTGTCTTCATCTTTGAACTTGATGGTGAGCAGTTGTCATGGTTTAAACCCAGTCAGGCAACTCGTTCACTTACTCCCACCCCCCTTCTTTCCCTCCCCCTACTCCCAGAGGGATGGAGAGGAGAATCAAAAGAATGCAACTCCCACGGGTTGAGATAAGAACAGTTTAGTAACTAAGGTATAACACAAATCACTACTGCTACCACCAATAATAACAATGATAAAGGAAATAACAAGGGAAGAGAATACAACACCTCATCACCAGCCGACCAATAACTCGCAACCCCCCCCAACCCGACCGAGCACCGACCGATACCTCCTCCAACCCCGCAGTGTACCAGCCCTTCTGGGGCACTCCCAGTTACATCCTGGGCATGACGTGCTGTGGTATGGAATACCTCTTTGGCTAGCCTGGGTCAGGTGTCCTGTCTCTGCTTCCTCCTGGCTTCCCCTCCTCCCTGGCAGAGCATGAAGCTCACAAAGTCCTTGGCCAAACCAAAACATCCTTGTTATCAGCTCTGCACCCAGGCCAAAAGTCAAAACACTGCACTGCACCAGCTACCAAGAAGGAGAAAAATGACTGCTACTGCTGAACCCAGGACAGCAGTAAATGGCCTTGCTGTGAAGCCAGGGGAAGTTTGTCTTTTTCATGACAAAAGTTTGTCTAATGCATCATATGCAAATAATAAATACTAGTAGGATAGTATGGCACTGCTGTGAAGTTCAACTACTGCAGCAGGAGGGTCAAGCTGACATGGCTGTATATGCAGCTCTCAGTAGGAGAGGAGACCTTTCAGGAAACATCCAATAAACCCAAGGGCACGTGAGAAACCAAATAGTTATTTTTTTTAATTACACATTTTAAGGAAGGACACAGCTTTGACACTGAGAGCACTGAGACTTGTCTCGAGTTGTGAGAGGCACTAAGGACAGGCCAACTCCTGGCTCTAAGTGTTAGTCGGGTCCATCTTTCTCCATTATCAGTCATTCCTCAAGAATTCCTGGGAGGTCCCCAGAACACAGTTGCCCATGGGGCAGCACTGAAATCAGTCACTGCTGCTAGGAAAGCAGCTGCAAAGTCATGCCCCATCCTTGGGTTGCTTCTCCCCAGAATCATCTGCATGCCAGTGCATTCAACAGCTCATAAAGACAGTAAAGCACCTTGGATGGAGGTGTTGCTACTATGGAAGAAGCCATACTCCTTATTTCATCCTGATCTACAGTTGGATGAGCCACTTGGCTGCTGACACATCCACAATTACTGCTCTGAGATGGCCAGTGCCTGGACCCATGGGCTGGCAGGTCTATGGGCAGCACACTGCCCCAGTGGCAGGGAGCTTTGCCACTGTGTTGTCACCCCACAGCCTCAAAACATACTGCAAACTTGGGAAGCAGCTCATGGCACCTGTGCTCACTGGGATAGGTGCACCAGTCTGCCTGGAGGGCAGGTTGCAGGCAGCAGCAGGGGATTTGGGCAGGCAAAGTGCGATGAGTAGCCAGGGACCAAGAGGTGGCACTGGGTTGAGCATCTCCTCCTCTGGCCAAACACAACAGAACCTCTTTGGTGTGCCAAGATTCTTCCATGCAAAGCAAGCTGGAAATCTCTGCCTGCTCCCAAGGCCAATGCAGGGTGCCAAAAAAGGGTTTATTTAAGCCCAGACCCTCTTATCCTGGCAAAGCATGACAGCTCCTTGCTTGCAAAACACACTGGGTGCAATGGGTCATTGCATTCACTTCCGTTCTCCTCCTCTGTGCCCCTGCTCACCGCAGATGGTGCAGCAGCAAAGCCAACCTTAGCTGCTCAGAAATGCCCAGGACAGCCAGGTTCCCTCCCTGGGCGGGTGACACTTACTTGGTCTTCTCCCTTTCTCCACCTGTCTGGGGTAAGCAATGCCAGTGCTAACACTTTATCATCGTTAAACCTTCATTGTCATGATGAGCCCTTGCTTTCTCATCTGTCAGAGGCACCAGCCATGCAGAGAGCATCCCCATTACGAGAATAAATAGCCCTTAAAAGCAAAGGTAACTGGCAAACAGCCTCTAGGCGCTCAGAGCATCTGTTCAAGCAGTGAAGCCCCCTAACACCTCCTGTCTAGAATCGTTCTCCCGAGTCCCCTGCCTCCAAGACAGCAGCACTGACCCACCATCCACTGCCACTGAAACCCTTGGCTTTGCCTCCCTTCAAGGAGAGGCTTTGCACACTTCCAGATGGATAGCTACATAAACAGCCGCAGGGAAAACAGG